TGGTCACGCAAGGCGTTTTCTTTCGTGAGCTTTTCTGTGACTGAAAAGCCCGATACGTGACCCGATACGTGTGTTATCTGTCTACCGCACTCCGGAAATTCAAAAATCTCATTGTTTTGTTACCTCTTTAGTTTTTCGTTGTCGCTGTTAACTACTAAGTACAATTCTTCTCCATTGTGAGCTGTATTGTGAGTTCTATTGTGAGCTGCTTCTTCCCATTCATTCGGCATGTTAATCCCCTTTATGTTTTCGTGGAAAATGTCCTTGTACCTTTTGAGTTGTCCATCCGGCCTCTTCTTACCATCTACAAGCTCACCGTAAAGCAGATATTTTGGTATACGGTTTTCTTGCATTCTGCATACGTGACCAGCCCATTTTAAGCGGGATTTTGTAACCATGGCTTCAATACTCTCGCAATTAGCTTTTTCAAGGACCGATACGTTTGAGACATGATGGAACCATTTGATTCTTAAGAGTTGTCTAAGGTGTTTCTGTTGCAACTTGTTTAACACGTTCCTGTGTCGGCGGTACGGTACCCAGGTTTCGCTACCATATAACATGGAGGGGATTATAATTGCTCGGTACACTGCAAGTTTCGTTTATGTGCTCAAGTTATGATTGTAGAAAACCCTGTCTTTTAATTTCCCGAATGCTCTGGAGGAGCTGTTAATCCTGTGCTGAATTTCAGAGTCGATATTGGAGTTTTCCGAAATCAAACTGCCGCATGCCGAGGTAATTGAATTCGCTACATATTCCAATAGTTCTTCTCCGATTTTTATAGCACTGTTGTGATCTTCCGGAGGAGTGCATATAATTTTAGTCTTGTCGATGTTTAGCTTAAGGCCCAAAGCCTCATATGCCCAGGTATATGTGTTCAACATTTCTTGTAATTGCTGTAATGTTTTTGCAATTAGAGCGCAATCAGCAGGGTATTGAAGTTCTGTGATGAATTTTGTACGTTTATGTTTTTGTCCTGAGTCTTTTTATGTTGAACAGACCGCCGACGTCTATCTGTATTGTTAGTATATGTAATTACATATAAGTCAATCAATAAGAACAAGTATAAATAAAAATCAATATATTTAACAATACAGTTATTGTATATACAATTGTATATATACAGTTATTGTATATATAATTGTATATACAATAACTGTATTGTTAAATATATTGATTTTTATTTATAGTTGTTCTTATTGATTGACTTTAATTGGTTTTACTTTAATCTAAATAAACTTCTTTTGGAGTTACAATCCATAAATAAAAAATAATGTTTTTGTTTAGATAGCCTTTAATATGTAGGTTTTGATGAAGAAAAAACTTGTTATTCTTTATTCTTCATTCGAGGTTTTCTACTCTAAGAATAGATTTTGTAATTAAAATGATTGATTTTCGATATCCTAATAGAACAAGTTAATATTAAGACGATTTTTAATAAAATATTTACAGATCGATATGTGGTTACAGCTAACTGGTTACTGTATTTAAAGTTTGTTTTCAGTTTCATTTTAATTATATTGATTTTACTTTTGCAACTATTCAGGGCGAGTCTTAAATAAGTGCAAATATTTTTAGGGCTGGTAGGTCTCGGTAAAAGAAAGAAAGTTTTTCTTTGATGTTTTTCAAATAAGTCCAAAAGAACCGAGATACATATTTTTCTTTCAAAATAAAAAAAAATGATTTTTCGCTTAATTTTGAGAACCACTGGATCTTCTCTGGGTTTTCTTCCTTGTAAATTTAACTCGAAATTTAATCTACTGTGTTGCTATATTATGAAGATATTAGGTTTTTTAATTAAAAATTAAAACAAGTTCCAAAAAATTTCAAATTTTCAAAAAAAAATCGCCAAAAAAACCTCATAGACGTGTTTCTGGGGTCGAAATTTATTTATGGAATATTTTTTATGAATTTATTGAATTATATTTTTATATTTAAAGCGGCGGTCCTACAGCTTCTGCCGCATCCCGCATTTCGACCTCCATATTGCTCGATTTTGCCATTCTTCCTGATGAATAGCTCTGTCTCTCATATACTGGTCTACTCCATCTAACCGCGTAGTTGTAGGTCTTCCTCTTTTCCTTCTGCTTTGGGGACGATACTCCATTGCCCTTTTTGGCCATCTTTCCCCTCCCATTCTTTTTACGTGCCCATACCATAGTAGCTGTCTCGATTCGATGTTGTCGGTGCTGGTATATATTCGCCTTGTTCTTTGCCTGATCTCCTCATTTCTAATGTGTTCCATCCTTGATATGCGACATGCTCTTCTGAGAAAGTCCATCTCCACTGACTCGACCATTCTTCGTTCCATCCTTGATATGCGACATGCTCTTCTGAGAAAGTCCATCTCCACTGACTCGACCATCCTTCTTTCTTTTGCTGTAAATTGCCAGCATTCGGCACCGTATGTTAAAATTGGCTCTACGGTTGCTTTGTAAATCCTTATCTTTGTTTGGATGGATGTTTTATTTGACCACAGGAGAGGGTTTAAAAGACCGATTACTTTCTTACTTTGTTGAACTCTACTATGTATATCTTTCTTGGAGTTCCTTTTTTCAGATATAATACTTCCTAGATATTTATATTCGCTACACCTTTTAATTTCATGTATGTGTAGTTCAGGATCTTCAGTTTGTTCTTCTCCTACTTTCAGGTATTCGGTTTTTGTGAGGTTGATATTGAGTCCCCATCTGTCGTATTCTTCCTCAAGTTTCCTGAACATATAGTCGGCATCCTCCTCACAACCTGCAACAATAACTTGGTCGTCTGCAAAGAACAAGGTCGATAGGCAGTGGTTGTCAATCTCTATTCCCATAGCTCTACTCTTCCTTCTCCAGTTTAGGAACTTCCCCTGTCTAATCATACTTTTTGGATTTTTGTACATATTCCAGATTGCATTGATATATGTTTTTCTCACATTTGCTTCAACCAATATTTCAAATAATTTCTTCAAAGGCACCATGTCATAGGCTTTCTCTAAATCTATAAATACCAGATGCCTGTCCAAATTTCGAGCTCTCCTTTTTTCAATTATTTGTTGTAACACAAATATGTTGTCTGTACAAGAACGGGCAGCGCGGAAACTTTATTGAATTATATTACCCCTAAATATATTTACACTTCTTCATTAAATAATGTGCATTCAAAAATGCAATTAAAATCATTCAAATCAAATTTCATCTCATACACTAGAGAATGTAACAAATAATTAAAAATACAAAACTCTCCATCTCCAACACATGTTTATATTAAATTTTTACTATATGTTTGACAGCCAATAAAGTAGGTCACTTAATTCCCGTGACCAAGAACAGGTGGTATATGTGTTTAAAATGCAACAGTCGTTCAGGTTCAGTTAATGATAACTATTTTGTTTTACTCGATAATTCAAGTGTATTGGATATGACAGAATAGTATGTCTAATAGTATATTAAATAACACTAATTTAAACAAACGACTATAGAAAATGTATTAAAGCACATAATATACCAATTATAGTCTAGTAATTTTCAACTTTTAACAAAATAGATTTTTCTTAAAACCTGAAATTTCGGGCATCGTTTCACATAACAACTATACAGGGTGGTCCGAACTGTATTCCGGAAACTTCGGCAGCATATTCTACAGATAAAAATAGGTAAAAAAGTTCGTATAAATGTATGTCCTAAAAGGCTTAGTTTCTGAGATTAGGTTGTAGAAGTAACGTCAATATTTTGATGAAAATTTGTGCCTGGGAGTTTTGTGACATGAGAAATTTGATTTTGATGTCAATATGACTCCTATTTGTAGAGGACGCTACCTATATATTTTTTAACACGTTAGAAGAGAAATAACTTTTCGTTCATACCTATATAAAACTGTTTTTTTACGTAAAAAAGGTCTCTTGGTGGAAATCGCTACAAATGATGGTTCTCGAGATATTAGGAATCGAAATTATCAATACCTGTCATCATTGACATAAATTAAACATGTTGACTAAATAGTTATTAGACTGAAATCATAAATTTGAAATGTTTTCTTGCAAAAAGTACAACAGAAACAGTTTTATCATCATTTCTCAAAAAAATATGATTAATTTAAAAAAATAAAAAGTTTCCAAATCTATCATTTCAGTCAAATAACTATCTACTCAACATGTTTATTTTTTGTCAATAATGACATTCGGTTGTCAATAATTTTGTCAATAATGATCGTAGCAATTTTTACCAAGAAATATTTTTTACGTAAAAAATCACGGAAATGTATATTTTTTCACTCAGTAATTTTATACAGGTACGGACAAAAAGTTTTTACTCTTCAAAAGAGTTAAAATACATGTAGGTGGCGCCCTCTACAAATAGGAGTCATATTGACATCAAAATCAAATTTATCATGTCAAAAAACTCCCAGGCACCAATTTTCATCCAAATATAGAGGTTACTTCAGAAATTATTTGGAAAATATCGAAATAAAAATGAAACTTCAACACCCTGTATCTCCGAAACTCATTTCAGTCATTTTAGGACATACATTTATACGAACTTTTTTACTTATTTTTTTCTGCAAAATATGATGCCGAAGTTTACGGAATACAGTTCGGACCACCCTGTATACTTAAATAGTTGCTGGAAATATTACAAAAATATGTGCTTTTAGGTGCTGAAATGAGTGGTCTTGGTCTTGGTGCGCTTTTGAATTCGACACTCCTCCTTTTTTTTTAAGTTTAAAGGCCCGCCAGTATAAAGAATTCTGATGATTTGACTTAAGTTCTTAATGTGCAATAAATAAATTTTATTTTACCGCAAAAATCCTGATTCTTAACGGTTTGTTAATTATTTTTTTTTGCTCACAAACAGATTGAATTTGAATTTGATAGATACTTATAGATTAAAGGCGCGTCGATATTAAGAATTTCTCCTTAAAGATCATTAAAATTATAAAGAATTTATATGTTTCAAAAATGTCCATGATAATATTTTGCCATTATTCAGTACATATTTTTTAAAAATTTCTTTTTATTGCAGGGATGCACAATCCAAAGTGTCCCAAATCATCAACGCAATGGGCGAGGCGTCCGCTCATGCACAAAGCCTGACAAAACCCATCACAACCTCTGACAGACTAAGGAATTCGGAACACAAATTGTATCTTCTGATCGATCAAACTGCCAACAAGTAAGTATCATATTTTATATTTTTGCATCATATATATCAAATATATAATCAAATGATAAAAAAAACAGAGATATGTAAAAATAAGTACCGCTTCATCGTCGATCACCGCGAAGTTTAGTGACATTAAGTATGCTGAGTCTATTGTTCACTCTATGTTGACTCTAGTCTATTTGGAAGGGTGAACGTCTAAAAAACTCATGTACCGCTGAATCACGCCTATTAGTGTTTGGATATATTGCATCCTACTCATAGTGCATTGAGGGATTTTGATAGCATGTTTGAAAATTTGTCCTCTCTGCGAAAACACACCACACTCTTAAAATTATCAATTATTCTGTGATTAGACAGTTACTTGTTTTAGTTGTGATTTATGTTCTATAGTATATTGTGTTGTTTGAGAAATTACAGAAGTGATATAACATACACATCTACAAATAATCATCAGCATCATCATTTAGCTTATTCCGTCCACTGCTGAACAAAAGCCTCCCTTAACTCTAGCAATCCCTTTCTATCTTGTGTTACTTGAATTCAATTTCCGGCCACTCTTTTTATATCATCTTTCCATCGAATAGGAGGTCGTCCTCTGCTTCTATCAGTATTGGTCCTCATTCCACAAGTCTCTTTGTTTACTGTCCATCTGTCATCCTAGCCACATGTCCTGCCCAGTTCCATTTAAGATGCAAGATAAATATCACTACATATCTTACTCGATTACTTGTTCGATTTCGTATAGTATGATTTGGTATTTTATCCCTCCCTATATCCTCCTTAAGTGTAACTCTAACATGGATCCTTCCATTTTCCGTTGCATGACATGTATTCGATTTGTTCTTTTTTGCCAAGTCTCAGCTTCATAATTGAGAACAGGCAAGACACACTGGTTAAAGACCTTTCTTTTTAAGCATATTGGAAGACCCGATCTCAGTATATGATCCACGACAAACCTTTTCTTCGTTGGATTTTGTGTGTACGATTATTATCCATTCTAATACCGATCTCATGTCCTAAGTAATTGTTTATTACGCTGTTGTTCCAAAAGTAATATAAATCGTTAAGTTCTAAAAGTAATATTTTATATACCGGGTGCGTCCCAAAAGTGGCTCACCCCTATAACTTTTTTATTTTTTTAGATAAAAAAAACAGATTTGGTATGTTAGGCATATATTATATTATATATTATATGACATAAATGATTGATTAACGTATTCAATTGTTTTTAGTCACTTCCTGTTTCACCGGAAATTACTACAACTTCTGATTTTTAAATGGCACCCTCGGTATTTTTTACTTTATTCGATAGAAACTGGCATATGGCACTCTGAATAGAATGACATATCGTATTATGTCAACTTTTGACATTTTCTCATATGGTTTATTTGAAATTGTAACATGCCGTTCATAACGATAATTTGACTCGAAATGCCAAGTGTATGGTACCAAATTATTCGTAAAAAATGCTTTTTCCAAATATGCTAATGAGCCACCCTCGTTTCATTTGAAAAAAATAGATATATTTATGAAAAATACGATTTGAGCATCTTTTAACCGGCCAGGACAAGACACGAAAAGCATTAGACGATCAAATCTATTTTTCCAAGGCTCATTGAATAAAACTTAGTGTTTTTAACACAACCATGGCACTCTAGATTGAAATTTAAAATACAATTTTTTTTAAAGCGAAAATGTCAAAAGTTGACATTTTGTATCAAATTAAGTAAAAAAAACACCGAGGTTACCATTTAAAAATCAAAAGTTGTAGTTATTTCCGGTGAGACAGGAAGTGACTAAAAACATATGAATACCGCCAATCAATCCCAATTTACGTCATAATATACTAACATACCAAATCTCGTTTTTTTATCTGATAAAATAAAAAAGTTATAGGTGTGAGCCACTTTTGAGACGCGCCCGGTATAATATAGTATTTAGTAAAATTCTAAAAGTAATATTTAAAGTACCACCCAGTACTAGGTTCATCTACAAATGCCTGGGTAATATGTTAAATATAAATTCGATTATAGAGGTATAAGGTAAAACTGAAGAACTGTTAGCAATTTGCATAAATATAAAGATGTGTATCACTTTTATTCATATTTGCGCAAAATAAACGAATAAAGAAAGTGTAGGCAGGTAGATACATATTATTTCTACAAACTATCGTAGCACGCGAAAGCTAATAATTACTTTTACTGTTATTAACATACATACTGACATAATTTCGTGAGAAGCGCCAGTAACCATTTCCCATTTTAATCTAGTTTAATAGCTGAAACAGTTGTTACCATACGGGCTCATTCATTTATCTCCAGTTTGCGTTATTTTTATGGTTTGTTGTCTACCAGCTTTGACCTTAATTTGGTGTAGACAATGATAGTACTTAATAAAAAAGAATAAAATATATTACTAAAGTATATAAATACAAACAGTATCGTAAAAAAACTGTTATAAATAGAAAATAATGGCTATCGCTTTGTGAAGAATTCCTTTCTGTAAAACTGCTGGATGTTTTGTCTTCGAACAGAAAATTGAAAATGAAAATATACACACAAGTCACAAAAAAAACACCTATATTTATAAGATATTATTAATAATTCTTAGTGTACAGGGTGGGTCAAATTCGACGCTTTTAAATGGAAACACCCTTTTCTATAGGAGATAGACGAAAACTAATATTGGTGTCTGGAGCTCAATTTTCATCAAATATATGATGGTGAAAATCGCACAACAATATCTGTTACCGTTTTGGAGTTACGGGGTGTTTTTCAAAAATGTTCATTTTTAACAAATCGCTGTAACTTTTTTTCTATGGAAAATTTTGTATATCTATGAAAACATTTCCAAAGCACCTTTTTACGTAGAATTTAATGGTTTAAGTGTAATTTTTTTAAAATTAATAATTTAAGAGTTATCAACAGAAAAATTGATTTTTTATTTGGGACACCCCTATATTTTTAATTAACTGAAAACAATTTAAAATTACCTTTCCAAAAATATAGCACACTTGATATTTTGTTATAATCCCCTTCGAAATACAGAATTTTTAAAAGTTCGCCAGTTTTAACTAGTAGGCTTTGGACCCCTTATTGATGATATGCCCTTAATGGAACTCGAAAACATATTTTTCCAGGAAGACGACGCACCGCCTCTGAACGCTGAAGTTATCAGCAAATTTTTGCAGCCAATTTCAAGAATAATTGAATAGCTAATCAAGATCCCAGCCGTTGGCCATCGAGGCCGCCTGACTTAGTGCCCATGGATCTAATCCTATGGATATATTTGCGGAAGAATAAAGGTTCCTTATTCTTCCGTATAATCTAGACAAGAATTAGAAATACTTAGCAGTTATGAGAGGGTATCTTTCACCCCCAATGATTTAATGAATTCCGCGAGAAATGTTCAAAAACTGCCCCGTCTGTCCATAACAGAAGGCGGTCGATATGTCGAACACCTGTAGCAAAATCTCATGTCTTGGTTTGCTATTTATTTTTATTGTTATTAGATATAATTTAAATGTGTTGATGTTGGTTAAATATATTTTAAATTCTTATAAAATTCTGCATCTCTCATAGCAAATATTATTTTCGTTTTAATTGATGCTCACAGCTAGAATTTTTTTGCATTACAGCCGGTGCCGTTCAAAGCCTACTTATTTAAAGCGGGCGAATTTTTATATACTCTATATCTCAAAGAAGAATTGAGCAAAATATAAAGTGTGTTATATTTTTGGAAAGGTAATTTTAAATTCTTTTCAATAAATTAAAAATATACAGGGTGTCCCATATAAAAAATCAAATTTTCTGTTGATAATTCTTAAATTATTAATTTTAAAAAAATTATACTTTAACCATTAAATTCTACGTAAAAAGGTGCTTTGGAAATGTTTTCATAAAAATACAAAATCTTCCATAGCAAAAAAGTTACAGCGATTTGTTAAAAATGCATATTTTTGAAAAACACCCCATAACTCCGAAACGGTAAGAGATATCGATTTGCGGTTTTCACCATCATGTTTTTGACAAAAATTGAGCTCCAGACACCGATATTAGTTTTTGTCTATCTTCTATAGAAAAGGGTGTTTCCATTTAAAAGCGTCGAATTTGACCCACCCTGTACATGATGACAGCTTCTGAATTAGCCAACGATTAGGTTTTCAGCTCTATCAGGCAATATAATGGAAAATCTGGGTCAATATATAGTCTGTCCAACGAGAAGATCCTCGACAGTGATAGATGTGTCTGTCATTTTAATTTCAAAGTAGTTTATTTTATTTTACAAAGAAATAAGTTGGTACAACTGGAACGCATAGCAGGAAATTAATATATTTAAAATTTGACTGACAAGTGATCAAATATCAAAATATTGTGAAAAAAAACTGTATAAACCTGAAAAAAATATAATCGAGTTATTTTATTTAATAAAAAACGGTATGTGTTAATACAAAACAAACAACAAGACACCACATACCAAAAAATATAAAAAAGAACTATTTCTTACTTTCAAGCTTTATGAAACTTCCCGCATTTATGATTATATTTATCAATATAACTTATGTACAAATACAAATTTGTAATATTCCACAGGAATAAATAAAACAACATAAATAAAACAAACTATTTTATTAATAATAACACTTACCAAATTTTATACCTTAAAGGTTAAAAAAGTTAATTAATCAACTTTAGTCTTATTTTTTTTAAACCAGTACCTTTTGACATTATTTTTCTGCAGTACTAAAATCCATTATTTACCTATCGTGTGATGTGGATATTTACAGCCACTCCAGTTTTTAATATGGTCCTTCTACCATATTCGAGATGCACTTATCTACGACGAGATGGTATACGAACTTTATTGGTGTATAAGACTTTCTGCCTGGGCAGCGAGTATTAACCATAAACTGTGCTCTGGGTCTACAGTTAATTTTCACTCGATTTTTGCTCCACTTGACTTCAAAAGACACAAAACACACGTAATAACACCAATCAAAGTGCATCATG